CAGAGGCGGTCAGTTCAGGACGTTCGTTCTAGTGAATAGTCCATCACTAAAAAGCGCGTGGCGCGGACTGAGCTGACCGCCCCGCGCCGCCGTCTGCGTTACTGCATATAAACTGGTTTGTATGATCCACGGCGGGCAGCCGCGGACATGCCGCGCCGCCAGTGTCCGCGGGGCACCCAAGGCACGGTCTTTTTGCCCTCTGTGTGCGTTTGTAGTATAGGATTCACTTTGTGCTATTATTCGCGGCGAAATTGATCGGCCCGCCCCGCCCCGTCGTCTGCAAAACGCCTAAATTTACTGTTGGAAGTAAAACATTCAGTTTGATTATCTATGTTCTTATTTAAGTTTCCGATAATTTTAGTTTTATGTATAACTACCAGCCCATAAGAATTACCTATATTAAAATAATATATAAAGGACATTGGGCAAAAATGTATGGACGCTGCACCCACGCCCTCCACGGCTTAAACTACATTTGTTTAAAAGGTATTAGAGTCATGATCCTCTGTGCCAAAGCGTATCAAATTCTATCCTGGGGTTCTTAAGTTATTTTAAGTTAAATAGGTACAAGTACTATAACGAACGAACATTAATGAAACAAGAGAATAAATTTAGTTAGTAGTTCGACCCTATATAGGGGGCTCAGGTATTATAGGAGTACTTCACAAGGTGCAAGGGTGTCCCCTTATGTTATACTGCCGCGCTAGAGTAGGGTTTTTTCAAACATTCTGTTCGTTATAGTAAATTGTCTTCTTTGTAAAACGGAGCGACCACAATTCACTCAAACTTGTCCACGTTTCAGAGAAAACATGATTCCAGTTCATCCATACTAATTGGCAAAACCGATAATTGTCCAAAGCGTGCTAAATGAAAATCAACCAAGTGACAGGGAGCGCACAATCACAAAGAAGTAAGACGAGTCGACCAAATATTTGCAACTGCAAGTCCTTCAACCCCCGTAAACCGTTTTGAGGTGGCTCAGTAAGTGCAAGCGCAGGATGGTCGGCAGGCTTTGTCGTATATCTGATTGTAGATCATATTATTATGGTTACTAATAATATAAAAGAAAGGTAGTACTATAAAATGAATTTATTTAGCTACTTAAATATGCTAATGTGTCATATCTTTTGACTACCAGGACATTTTTTACGGTGTCATAATAAAAAAGGCTAGTTTTTTCATAGATCTATCGATTCATACTAATTACATTGTTGGCGGAGCTGGGTGTGTTTTGCCCATTGTCCTTTTTGGATTGCAATCTGTGTTTCCTGGAACTTGAATAGATACAGGAATATTTTTGTAAATTCTTAGAGAAAAAACCAATGACGTATACTCCCGGACACATCTATCGGCCCACCAAGTATTTTAAGTTTTTACCTATATGGTTTTGACGGCCCCTAACTAAAAATTTTTACGCAATTTTGAAGTTGATTTAATAATAACGCATCTTTTTAAATGTATTATTGTTTAAATCTAAAGAAAATATTACTAGAAAAAAATCCACGCCGACCAGGCAGCAGACGGGATTCGAACCCGCACCGTTTGCTATCCGGGCGAATGCACTGACCTTTAGGCACTTTGCAGACGACGGGGCGGGGCGGGCCGGTCAATTTCGCCGCGAATAATAGCACAAAGTGCATCCTATACTTTAAACGCACAGAGCTGATAGAGGGCAAAAAGACCGCGCCGCAGGTGCCCGGCGGGCAGTGGCGGCGCGGCATGTCCGCGGCTGCCCGCCGTGGATCATACAAACCAGTTTATATGCAGTAACGCAGACGGCGACGCGGGGCGGCTAGCTCAGTCCGCGCCACGCGCTTTTTAGTGATGGACTATTCACTAGAACGAACGTCCTGAACTGACCGCCTCTGCCCGTCGTGTGCTTTGTTTACGCGGCGCGGGCAGCCGCAGACATCGACGGGCAGACGCGGTCTTCATTGCTTCGCGGACAAAAAGCCCGCCCCGCCCCGTCGTCTGCTAAGCGCCTTATGCTACGCGGCCCTGATGGCCGTATCAAATTCTTTCTAGCCTTTCTTAACCTGCAAGGTAGCGCCGTCTCTTTGCATTGTAGATAATCCACAATTATAACTAACGCTATTATTGTTGAGACCGTTGTAACTTATAATACTAAGCGGGCCGATAGATGTCTGAAAGTGTATACATAAATGTAGACAGGTTACGCCAACATTATTGCATTTTAAAATAGCACAAGTAGTCCCCGCCCCAACTTACCTTGGCAACAGCCGCCAATAGAGTGCTAAAGTAGTGTCTTTCACTCTCATTCTTAGGCCCGTATTACAGAATCTCTTATCTATTAGACAAGTCCGTCCGTCTGTCTGTGGTGCTGTTTCAGCGGCCAAACCGTAAAAGATAGATAAAGAGAATATTTAAGTTATAAGTTAAGAATAGTCTGATAAGACTACAAACCGGATTTGAGTAACGTAGCACTTCCGGTTTTCGAGAAATCAGGTTTTGGTGAACATTTGGTTCACTGGTTTGCTAGTGACAACTAAGTGTTGATCTTTACTTGAGTACAGTTAGAAAGGGATATCGCTATGTGCTATATATAGCGACATGCCTTTCTAACTATGCTCAAGACTAGATCAATCACTGAGAATCTTTCTATAATACGGGCCTAGAGCTGATTACATCTCGCTCTTAAGCCTCCATGTGTCAGCAACTGTCAAAATAAGTAATCGCAAAATAGAGTAATTTCTTTAAAACTGTACTTATGAATGAAATACACGTTTCCCTTGACTGTTGTAGTTCCTGTGCAATTTGTGTACTTACCTACTATCTAAAATCATGCATAGGGCTTCTTGTCTGGAAAAACGTAAAATATTTACACGTTGTGGCGAAGTGTACCTGCGGCAACGGCAACACATTATAAATGCGATTCAAATAAGAATAGGAAAGCCAATGACCTCCACCTGTCAAATGTCGCTGGAAAAGTACGGTTTGCAAGAATATCTTGGAATCCTTTTTTAGCACTACTAATTCTAGAATAAAAAGCAAACATTTGTAAACAAACAATAACAAATATTGATAATTAATATTGTTTGATATATTTTTTTTCATTTATTGAGCTTTGGCGGTTGATTACCTAAATCGTGAACCAAATGTCACTTTAAGTTGCGTTCATAAACTCATTTTCTCTCACTCAGATTATTCATAACTACTTCGGCGGTAATGCAGAGATGAGCGGAATTGAAGAGCTAGATTCTGATTGTTTTTTCTGACAGTCTTAATAAATAAATATTATTAAAAAACGGTGGGTTTTTTTCTCAATCTTAGTAAATAAATGTTATTAAAAAAATCTGATGTTTTTTCTTACTTAATCTTAGTTAATAAGTTTTATTAAATAAAATCTTTTTTTTGCTCACTCTACCTCCTATTTGGTTTGAATTGGCAGCTATGACACCACAATATGGCGCCCAGTCGGTCCTATTCTTAGTTGAATCGCATTTTAACTCTATGAAACACCATAGGAAAATAGGTTATTATTTTAAAGCTATAGTAAAGAGACTATAGACTGCAATAGGCTATGATTTGTCTCTTTTTGAAGATAAGATGTATTTGGGTATATAAAAAATAAGTGAAAATAAAACAAGTCTTTAGTTAAAATGTTTTAATAATAATAAAAATTCCTATCATACCATACAGAGGCGATCCATCCTCACTTACATATTAAAATATCAAATAATGGCACTTTGTTAGCTTAGTTGATTTATTGGAATATCTTTCATATTCGCTTAATAATATCGAAAGTATGTATAATACAATAATTCTCTTATAAATTTGAGATTCAATATGTTAGTTGACAAAAAAAAATACGTTTGGTGTCAAACAATTTTGTAAGTAAATTTTCATTAAATATAATTATAAACAGGCAGAGTATAATCCGATTAAAACACGTTATTAACTAATGACATAATAATTATAATGTAACTGCTTTTTTCAAGTACTCTCAATACTTTTACTTCAAGTAACGGAGACTCTTTTCAAATATACATACTATAAAATTAAATATATTATATCGATATATGTGGTATACTATTTTACTTTTTGCTTATATCAAATACATATAAAATAAATTAACACACTTAAACATTTACCGTTTTATGACAAATTTTATGCATTAAACAAAACGGCGATATTTTTTTCTAGTAGTACTCGCATGTAAAAAATGTTTAACATTTTTTTAAATATTATAATTTTAAAAAACCTTATTATTTCACAAAAGTATCCACTTTAGATTCATTAGTTTTACAGAAAAAAAATTAAGAATCACAAGTTATTTTATAACAAGTTTAAAACATTAAAAATACAATATTTTCTAATAATAAAAATAATGTAGGAGTTTGTTGTCCAAAGTCGTTTAAAATGTAGTGTGCTGTTTGCAGTTTTTAACAGTAAACAGCACATTTATATAATATTTTTTTACAAAATACTTTTTGTTTTGCTATTTGGAAGCTGTAGGAGTATAAAATTGCAGTCATACTTCATTAAAATCAGTAAACAATCTAGTGAAATCTTTTATGGAATACATTATTTTAAATTTAGGTACATTGAGTAAAAACCGATTTAGAATAATATAAAGTTATGCATAACTTAAGAAAGGGTCGAGAAAAAATCCAGCCACCGAAGACTCGCTGCAGATGCGGGTTCGAATCCCGTCGCTTCTTTTCCAGTAAATTATTTTTTATATTTAAACAATTACCAGTTATATGCTCAGAATAAAAATATAAAAATGTACTTCTTATTATGTTAAGAGAACTTACATTTTTTTTTACTAAATTAATGAAGTATGAAAAAACCTGAATACTATTTTACTGCTTAAGTAGACGAAGTATGAAAAACTCGAACGGTCCTACCACAAAAGTTTTTAATTAAGGCCTTGTTCAAAAGTGATACCGTCCATCTGCTTTAAACTATGTTTACATTGAAACAGTGCTAAAGAAACTTTTGTAGTAACACCGGTGGTATTTTATTGGTATGTTTATTTACATAATAACGCAAGGCATGGCGCAGCACAGCGGCAGACACACGGGGACGGCTGTTTTCCGTTCCGAGTGCTTCTCCTTGCTGCGCGATCCGGATTCATATTCATACATTCCCCTCCCGGAAGCGTGAGCCCCACCTCCTTGCTGCATCGCCTGGATTATTTTAAAATGAACAACATATCAATCAATCAAATCATTTATTCGTTGTCATCGGTAACAATAAGTTTTTAAAATTTATATAAATGTGCCTCCATGACATGCTCAATAGCATACGAAAATTTGTTATCATTATAAATTCAATAAAATCATAATAAAAGAATCAATACATTAATCTATACATCAATAAAAAAATAAAAAAAAAAAAGAAATATCAGTATCCATTAAAATTTATTTACATTATAATAACATTTATCCACTAAAAATTTCGTCAGTTTTTTTTAAATGTATTTGTATTATAATATTTAATGCTGTCAGGTACAACAACAACATAGGGTGTATTCCGTAATATATACCAGTATACTGGCCAGTTAAGAGGAGCTCGATGGCGCAAGTGGTTAGCGCGTTCGGCTGCGATCGTTGAACTTAAGCAACTTTCGCAGTGGTCGGTCATTGGATGGGTGACCAAAAATTACTATCCCGAGCTCCTCCGTGCTTCGGAAGGCATGTTAAGCCGTTGGTCCCGGATGCATCTGCAGTCGTTAGCACCCACCAATCCGCACTGGGCCCGCGTGGTGGGTCATGGCCCAATCTCCCTATTCCATCCATTGGGACGGCCTGTGCCCCAGCAGTGGGGACATTAATAGACTGATGATGATGATACTGACCAGTGCTAATGACGTCATGAATCGACGCTATACTGGTGAATTGTTCCGAAATATAGTGGCCAGTGCACTGATGTCATAAATCGATGAAATATTAAAATTAGCGCGAATAAAGAAGGACTCATCAATTAAAAGGAATTCTTTTTGTTCGGATGCCATTATTGTTCTTTAAATAAAAACGAAATAAAATCGGTCATAATTATGTCATATTCGTTTTCCCGGTAACAATATGATAGCATACCAGTACAATATGGCGTCGGATTCGTGACGTCATTACCACTGGCCAGTATACTGATGTATATTTCGGAATACACCCATAAACAACACATCGACACTGGAAAAGCGAAATCACTATAAACGTCAATTTAGTAACTTTACAGAAATGGGAACGGAAGCTTTTTTTTCCACAAAAAAAATATAACTCACGAGAAGTAGCGCCATAAAAATGAAAACATATTCATAAAATAATATTTTCTAAATATCCTCCTATTAAAGATTTACATACGGCAGGCCATACAACGGAGCGTTCACGAGTCATGTCATGGACCATTCTCCCTATTCCAGGGAAGACCTATGCCCAGCAGCGGAGATATTATCGGTCATTTTACGGCCCATTCTCCCTATTCCAGGGAAGACCTATGCCCAGCAGCGGAGATATTATGGGTCATCTCACGGCCCATTCTCCCTATTCCAGGGAAGGCCTATGCCCCAGCAGCGGAGATATTATGGGTCATCTCACGGCCCAATCTCCCTATTCCAGGGAAGGCCTATGCCCCAGCAGCGGGGATATTATGGGTCATGTCACGGCCCATTCTCCCTATTCCAGGGAAGGCCTATGCCCAGCAGCGGAGATATTATGGGTCATCTCACGGCCCATTCTCCCTATTCCAGGGAAGGCCTATGCCCTAGCAGCGGAGATATTATGGGTCATCTCACGGCCCATTCTCCCTATTCCAGGGAAGGCCTATGCCCCAGCAGCAGGGATATTATGGGTCATGTCACGGCCCATTCTCCCTATTCCAGGGAAGGCCTATGCCCAGCAGCGGAGATATCATGGGTCATCTCACGGCCCATTCTCCCTATTCCAGGAAAGGCCTATGCCCCAGCAGCGGAGATATTATGGGTCATCTCACGGCCCAATCTCCCTATTCCAGGGAAGGCCTATGCCCCAGCAGCAGGGATATTATGGGTCATGTCACGGCCCATTCTCCCTATTCTAGGGAAGGCCTATGCCCAGCAGCGGAGATATTATGGGTCATGTCACGGCCTATTCTGCCTGTTCCAGGGAAGGCCTGTGCCCTAACTACATACACTAAAAATGATGGATTATATATTACTAGCTGTTAACCGCGGCTTATTAAGGATATTTTCCCGCAATAAAACGTAGCCTTGTGTTAATCCAGGGCAGGGTGACAGCCAACTCCATACCTTTTATTAAATTCACTCCAGTCGTTTAGACGTGAAGGAGTAACAATCATACACACACACACTCACAAACTTTCGCTTTTATAATATTAGTGTGATTTGGGGACTTTCATCAGCTAATAATAATGATTATATAGGAGGAGCTCGATGGCGCAAGTGGTTAGCGCGTTCGGCTGCGATCGTTGAAGTTAAGCAATTTTCGCAGTGGTCGGTCATTGAATGGGTGACCAAAAGTTTACTATCTCGAGCTCCTCCGTGCTTCGGAAGACACGTTAAGCCGTTGGTCCCGGCTGCATCTGCAGTCGTTAGCACCCGCCAATCCGCACTGGGTCCGCGTGGTGGGTCATGGCCCAATCTCCCTATTCCATCCATAGGGAAGCCCTGTGGCCCAGCAGTGGAGACATTAATAGGCTGATGATGAATAATGATTATATATTATAATACTTACACTACTGGCTTGGTATCCTTGCACCTGAGTCTCAGGTTTCTTGGCAAAAGGCGTGTGTCCCGGGGGATAATAGACCGCGGGTCCGGCGACGTTGTTACTGCCTACAGGGGTCACGGGTTTGGTTCCCGCGTCGCGAGTGTCGCGGGACAAGTCGCGGGACTTCTCGTGAGTCACTTCGACCTTGCGACGGTAAACGCCGTCAGGCTGTGTTGGGAATCGCTGTGGAATGGAAGGCGTTTTTATTAATCTCTTTGGACGGGCATAAAATGCGATAGACCGCCTTATCTTGCAAAACGCAAATTAGACATGTACCCCTATTACGAACCATTATCGAATTCGAATAGTATGCGAGTGCGAAATGTCAATGTCAAATTTTCTATGGAAACTTGAACAACAGCGGCACAAAGTACGTAACGAGAACTAAAAATCAGTACACATTTGACAATGACATTTCAGACTCGCAAACGATTCGAATTCGGTATTGATTCGTGCTAGGGGTACTGAACTGAAGCTGATGCTGTCACTTTTGTTTGCTAAAAAAGACAGAGACAACATTAGGTTTAAACCAGGACTAACTTTAGTCCGCGTTTTGGAATAAGGCGGTTACAGCTTTTTATTGTAACTATAATCAAAAATTGTAGTTATAATTTCTATTTTTGAAGCATCTAACTGCTCGATGTTTGAATCTAACAAGGGTGCCTTAACTCTCAATGACGCATTGTATCTTGATTCGTGCTCAGTTGTAATTTAGCGCTTAGTTATAAAAATTGCCACTCAAATATTAATTAATTCGGACTTTTTTACCATTAGGACGTATTTTATGTTTTTCTATCGCTCCCAACCCATATGGAAGTCGATTTTATAGTTTTGCTCTCATTTAAGCATTTGTTTAATATAATTACAATAAAAATATTGCCAGAAAAAATATCACGCGGACCAGGCAGCAGACGGGACTCGAACCCGCACCCTTCGCTATCCGGGCGAATACACTGACCATTATGCTACCGTGGCCCTGATGGCCGTGTCGAATTCTTTCTAGTGTTTCTTAAGCTGCAAGGCAGCGTCAACTCTTCGCATTGTAGGTAATTAACCCACAATGTCAAATGAATACTTTTAGAATTAAATTATGGGCATTTGAAAGCAGAATTCGCAATTATAGTTATATTTTTATACTTAACTAGTGGCCCGCCCTCGCTTCGCTTCGGTGTAGAGCTGTAGTGTAGAATTGGAATTTGTATCACCTTTTAAACCTTCCGTAGACCTCCACGAACATTTCAAGACTAAGATAAGATAAATCCGTTCAACCGTTCTCGAGTTTTAGCGAGATCAATTGATATATACTATCTGACCCAGCGAACTTTGTACCGCTATAAAAAAAGGGGCAGGTGGTAGAAGAGAAAATTTAGGGTTGTATGAATTTTTAATACCACATTAAAAAAAAATGTCCAAAAAAAAATTTAGGGATGTGTAACGTAGTGTTCTATCAATTTCCTAGGATAACATTCCTCCTAACCCATATGAGAACACTACGTTACAATACCCAATAGTTTTAATTTTGGCGCGAAGGCACATTGTAGGTTTCAGAACACTACGTTACAGGTGGACAACCATTATCACTTAAGGAAATGAAAAATAGATAGTAGCCGATTCTCAGACCCACGGAATATGTACATAAAATTTCATAAAAATCGGTCAGGCCGTTTCGGAGGCGTATGGTAACTAACATTGTGACACGAGAATTTTATATATAAGATAGATTAGGGTATTGTAAAAACATAACTCACCGCTTCCGGGAAATCTGCTAGCAAATCGTCTAATTTCTTCGGAGGTTGCTGGTTCCCAGGCGAAGGGGTCGTGGGTCGGGGGAATGCCCCGGGCACCGGCGACGGGGACGAGCCGGGGTACCGCTGGGTGGTGTTGTGGGCCGAGTACGAGGTCTCCGAGTACTTGTATGAGGTCGGGCCCTGCTGGGGAACGAGGGAATTTACTCAATTCTCAAGACAACAAACTTTATTTTAAAAGAGTTTTACAACCATAGACATTTTTTTTCTAGTTATATTTTCTTTAGATTTAAACATCAAGCAGTTACATGCTTTAAAAATAATAAAAATTATAACCATAGATACTTGAAAAGTACCTCAATTAAATACTAAAGATAGTCTATTAAAAAAAAAACGTTAAGTGTCATAAAAATGCATTAAGTATAAGTAAGTATTTCCAACACTCACACCAACTATCCTAGCCTCGAAGAAAGCACTGTAAGGCTTGTGTTATGATTAGAAATAAGTATATTTATATAGAAATACATATGAAACATTCATGACTGGAGTACAAATGGTCGTATTCATCACACAAACATCTGCCCCCACCGGGATTCGAACCCACGACGTTCGAACACCATGAACCCGGCGTACAAACCACTCGGCCACGGAGGTCATCGTATTCGAAATAAAAGCAAAATTAAAAACATAAAATAAGGTCAACTAGGTCCCTGCCTCTGCATAATGCCACACCGAGATCAAGGCCACTGCGGCGCTGATATTCTGGCAGGGCCTTAGGCCTAACCAGGGAATTTACTAAATATAGGGCGACAAGAAACTTTATTTTAAAAGGGTTTTATAACCAGTTTTGAAAAGTGTCTGAATTAAATTCTAATCAAATATAAAATTATTAATGCTATTCAAAAATAAAACATTTTTTTTTCAATCGTTAAGTGCCTTTAAAATGGCATTAAAATAATTACTTATAAAACGCGTAGTAGCGCGCGTAGTCAAACGGAAGCGCTGGACGCAGTGGATGCCATATTGTCCTACGGTCTTGACGACAATATGATTATTGATTTAACGCATTTAGAACAAAATTTTCTTCAAATGCGTTAAATCAGCAAACATTGATTAGATAGATACCGGGCGAAAAAACGACACTTTTCGTATTATAGTCAAAACCGAATATATCGACACCGTTTTTAACGATTGGTCGGTTATTACGACCAATTGGCAAGGTTCCGGCCGAAACTCTACATAAACCCTTAAGTAAACAAATCGCCTATAACAACACCGGATGTAGTAAAATACTGCTTAAAACGGCTTATATAGCTTAGAAGGCTTATAGTCGATGAATATTGATAAAGTTCATATATCTATATTCATCTGCTATAACGACCAACCGTTTTACTTGTTCCAGCAAAACAAAATATACTGTAGGTATATTTTTTATTTTTTAAGCATGTAACTGCTTGATGTTGAAATCTAAAGAAAATATAACTAGAAAAAAATCCACGCGGAACAGGCAGCAGACGGGACTCGAGCCCGCACCCTTCGCTAAATATACTGTAGGTACTTAAATTTTATTCATAGTATTTTTTTACTTTTATCTTCGATATTTTATTTGAAAACCAAACTTGTTAATCTATAAATATATATAATTAATTCTTTATCTATAACCATATGACTCAATGACGTCAATAATATGACCACCTACTTGTGAATGTTGCTTATTATGTAACAACTATCGAACATAATAACGTCCTAAGTTATATGGTCCCTTCAATGTCGTTGTATCCGGTTTCGACTGTATATGTATTTTTTTCGTATTTTAGCAAGGAGCTCTGGGATATGTTGATTTTTCAACGGTCCGCGCGTGACTGTGAATCAAGAAGTGTTTGAGTGGTGTTCAATCACTTCTTGATTGGGACACATTTTGAGCGCCAGTGGTGTGTCTAGGGTATTTAATATCGTTGTGATGATGATAAATAATAATAATAATAATAATAATTTCTTTATTTCAGGCAAAAGACCCATATGACAAAATTGATAATAAAAATTAAAAATAAAACTGTGTATATTATAAAATTACTTAAAAAACAACATAGGATTTGCTGAATGTTTATTTCAGACTGTCATTTCCAAAACGATGTAATTTATTCCAATGTTTAAAGAAGACATTGTCCACGTCATCGTGGATGTTGCGGAGAATGGAGTTCCCACTTTCACGGAGCCTCTCCCAGAACGAAGCGGACCGCGATCTGAGGATACAGAAAAAATCGGGAACATTTGCTTCAGCAAACATTTCCTTGGCACTGCAATATCGCGGTTTTTTGAGCAGGATGCGAAAGGCGTCATTATATTGGACTCGCAGCACATTAAACAAACGCTTTGTATATCTCAGCCAAAGATGACATGTATAAAACGTTTGGCAGTACGCCTTAAACAACATTATCTTGACGTCTCTCGAACATCCGCCGAACCGCCTTGCGAGCATATTGCACCTCACCGCAAGAGCCCTTCTCTCCCTCTCCATGTCGTCCTCATCGTTGAGCTGTCCATTCAATATATGACCCAGATATCTGAACCTCGTTACAACCCGAATTGGCGAACCATACAGCCACACCGGTGGAACGTTTACCGGACCTTTTCCGTTCCGAAAAATAACGACTTCTGTTTTAGCCACATTATATTTCAATCCATGTTCCCCAGCATAGGACTCACATATTGAAAGAAGCTTTCGAAGTCCATTAATCGAGGGACTCAGAAGAACCATATCGTCGGCGTAGCTCAGGTTGTTAACACATACGTTACCAACATGGCAGCCAACCCTGGCTCCTCTGAGTCTCTCGATCAATCCATTGACATACAGGTTAAAAAGGTCCGGTGACGTCAGTCCTCCTTGACGAACACCGCAGTCTAATCTAAACTTATTAGATGTCGCGTCGCCCCATCTTACAATGTTAGTTTGGTTTTCGTACCAGTGTCTCAACAGGTTCACAACCGTGGGTGACACCGTGGTCTCTGTCAGTTTATGCCAGAGTAATTTATAATTAACAAGATCGAAAGCGCGGCTGAGATCTAGAAAACACGCATAGACTGTAGTTTCTCTCTTGTTATAATAACTGACAGTGTGCTTGAGCGCTAATATGGCAGAATCAGTTGAGACACCCCTACGAAAACCAAACTGTGCGTCATTTAGTTTAATATTGTTCACCAATTCGGGCTGCAAGATCCTCTCAAATATCTTGCCAACTATTGTACATAACGATATCGGACGGTAATTATTAGGACTGGACAAATCACCTGTTCTGTTCTTGGGGACAGGGACCACCACAGTTTTCATTAGATCAGCTGGAAGGTACGTATGTTTAATACACATATTAAACAAATCGGCTATCACCCTGAAAACTTCCGTGCTGGCATTAAGGATATGTTCTATGCTCAGACGATCGTGTCCCGGTGATTTTCCGTGTTTCATGCTACGAACTATACGGAAAACCTCATCAGGAGTAACTATGACTGGTCGACCCTGGGTAGGAATATATCTCGTATATGGTGGTACCCCATTCTCCCCAACATCCAAAGGCTCGACCCTAAAGTGTTTTGCAAACAAGTTTGCAATGTCCGTCTTGTCATTGGTATTATTTATACTGGCTGGTAAAACATTTTTGCCTTTTGCCGCTTTCACCCCATTCCAAAACTTAACAAAGTTGTTTGAGGCTTTACTATTTGCCAATATATTCATTTTTATTATATTTTCATTATTCTGTGCCCATTTTAATTTGTTTTTAAATAATTTTCTACTTTGCGTCATATTATTGTAGTCAATGCCATTACTCGGTTTTCCTAGTTCAATCCATTGTTTAAAATATTGCCTAGCTATTTTATGACTTTCACTAACGTGAAAGTTCCATCCCAACACTTTACGACACTTTTTTCTGGAATCGTTTTGAAAATGACAGCTTGAAATTGCAGCTTTTTGTAAAATTGATATAAAAGTATTATACATCGAATCAATATCCCTATAATGATATATTATATTTGTGCATTTTTTTTCATAAGATATATTTATACAGTTCGAACAATGACTAGAATATTTTAATTTTACTAAGTTACTATAACATATTTTTCTATACAATTTAATTTGATTAAAATTTCTTTTATTCCATATAATTCTATTTTCTTTATTATTTTTATCACAGTTATTAAAAGGAACTTTACTTAAAACTAACCCGATATTGAGTCGATAAAGGACAATGTTAAAATTGGCCTAAGAACCAACACCAATTTGGCATTTATATGGCATTCTTAGTATATTTTTTGCGATAATTATCAGTATTTAGATTGTGACGGACACTTCCAGTTAAGTAAGCTAAATTAAAAAGTTAAAAAATAATCTGAGACAATAAATACCAATTTATGTGTATAATCTATGGCAGCGCTGCAAACAAAACACTCTTTCTTCCTAATGCTGGCACTTCACTTGGCTATTCGTATTTGCTATTTTAAAACATGACATCAGTTTGTCCTTTTCATTCCTTATTAAGCATGACAAGGACAAACTGTTGTCAAGTGAAGGGCCGGCATAAAACTTGTTACTCTGTGGTTGTGGTGCATGCAGTTTGCATTCGTAGTAATCTGTGGCATTCGTGCATTCCAAAGAGTAGCGGTGGGCATTTAAACGAAAAGCGCTTAAATAAGCGCGCTTAAAATATTAAGCTTGTAAGCACGCTTTTAAGTATAAGCTTTATAAGCTTATCACTTAAAAAGTGTGAGTAAGCTTTTCACTTAAAAAAGTGCAAGTATATTTTTTACTTAAAAAGTGCAAATCCCGCCATCTATGTCTTTGCGAGGAAACTACATACTTCGATCCTTCTAGTCCACTACAGTATCGTAAAATGGGTACGCGGAATTCCTTGGTACTAAATATTTCACAATATCACAGACATAGAACGCGCGACTACAGCGCCGCGTCGGCGTGCCATCTTTCGTGAGCCGGTTAATACAGAATGCGAATTATTATAATGCGACGTAAAAAAATGCACTTTTTTAAAATTTGGTCGGATAACCAACGCTTTTTTCGTTAAAAGCGTATAATTAAACGAAGTCGAAAAGCAGTACGCTTGTCACTGTGACGGGGTAAGAGCGCGTGGGTGTTGTACGGTGTGTTTGCATGCTTGCTTGACGTGTTAATGCGTTTCGTGTATTGATTTAATGTGCATATAAAATAGTTAAAAGTATGTATATAAAATCAATGAACTTTTAAGTACGCCTGGATCACGAGTATATTAACTCCAGACAGTCCTAAGCTTGTAAAGTATGAAGGAAAGTTCATTGACTATTATAAAAATGTTTATTATAAAATCTAAATTCAATTGAAAATCTTTCGTTTTTAATGCCAATCAACTCATTAGGTTTAAAAAAAAAATTTAATAAAAATTTCATTAATAAGAAGAAAAAACGCAATAAAACACTTAAACACATTAAAAACGACAATAAACTTTTCACGCTTTTTTAAACGATATACCTAAACGAAAACACAACACAACGTCGCGCTTTTTACGCATGCTTTTAAACGTTTAAGCCAATAAGCGTTTAAACGAAACGACAATAAACTTTCACGCTTTTTTAAACGATATACCTAAACGAAAACACAACACAACGTCGCGCTTTTTACGCATGCTTTTAAACGTTTAAGCCAATAAGCGTTTAAACGAAAAAGCTTTTTTTCAAGCGCGCTTATTTTAAAAAGTACAACGTTTAAACGCTTTTAAGAAATAAGCCGTTTTTTCCATCTCTACCAAAGAGTAGTTTAATATACCGGAAAGTGCATTCTCGTTTCGGATTACCTGTTGTGTGTGTTTATTTGCGATTGTTTTGCCTTTAATTTAACTATTTCGGCTATCTAATATACCATGTGAATATTAAACATAACCTCAAAAAAAAATTAGTTTTCCTAATAATTTAAATCCGTCAATAATCTTTGTTTTTACAGTCATTTACTTAAGATTTGAACGTAGAAAATAATATTTCATGATTGTTGGTTCTTAGGCTAACTATGTATGGACGCTGAACAATGTCCTTTGGTATTGCAAATGACGATGGCAAGAGACCGGACGGTATGAGTTTGATTCCATGGAAGTTGGGCCGGGTGTTAGAATGGGATGCAACCTGTTCCGACACGCTGGCCCCTTCCCATCTACATGGAACCAACAACAGAGCTGGTGCGGCTTGCGAAGCGGCTGAAAAAGCTAAGGCATGCAAATACAGGGGTCTAGGCTCCGAATATGATTTTGTCCCATTAGGTGTCGATCCCTTGGTCCGTGGGGTCCTAGCACTGTAAGGCTTTTTAAGGAAATAGCAAAAAGGTTAGTCGACATCACAGGAGACCGAAGAGCTGGCAGCTACCTCGGACAAAGAATTAGTCTAGCTATGCAAAGGGGGAACGCTGCCAGTATCTTTAGAACCTTGCCTAAAGGGACTCCTTTTAATAATGTATTTTAAATATTAACTGCAGGTGCACATTGTAAAACTAATGTTAATGTATCATTTTATTCTTGTTAAATAAATGAATTAGATATTTTTGTTATAATTACCGGTGGGGAGAGTGGTGTCAGATGCGTAGAGTGGTTGGCAGGCGTGGTGTATACCACACGTTCGTCCTCCACGCGGGACTTGCAGTGGGAACAGTACTGGCAACCCAGCGGCGGAGGGGGGGCCGCCTTCAGAGTGTTGCTAGTGTTGGTGCTGATGGGGGAATAGAACATATTATTTAATATTAATAATAATAATTTTTCATGTGTAACATCTTTCCTCTCGCTTTCGTGCAATTTGTGGGAGTGATTACGTGAAGTGAGACGGAAGTGTGTAACAGGAAGTTTGGGAAGCGCGCGCTATTTGATTTGATTTTAGAACATAATTTTCAAATGGCTTATTCCTTCAGTAGTAGGTTTTGATTATTTTTTTACTAATATAAGGTGAGGTTTCAAATGTAACACATCATACGCGACTACTGTAAGGCTCGCTCGGTTTTTGTTTTTAACTAGTGCCCCGCCCTCGCTTCCCTTCGGTGTAGAGCTGTAGTGTAGAATTCGATTTTTTTCTCACCTTTCAAACCTTCCCTAGACCTCCACGAACATTTCAAGACCAAGATAAGATAAATCCGTTCGGCCGTTCTCGAGTTCAAGCGAGGCTAATGAACAGCAATTGATTTATATATACATATATAAAAAGATAATAATAATATTTTTTATTGGTTCGAACCACTTTAAATTTTAATACACGATAATCTGAACCCTGCCCTCTGGAAAAGGTTACCCTGAGGACCAGAAGACAGTGCTCTCCCCACTATTGTTAACTTTACAAAGTATTGTAGTTGCGGTTAATAAATGAACTTTAAAAGTACAATAATTCAAAAATGATTTCAAAAATACTAAATAAAAATAAAATAATATTAATATCACAAAACTACTTATAGCATTACCCGGTGTGTGTGTTCGTGTGGGTGTTATTAATACATCTTTATATATATAATTCTTCTGTGAGTGTGTATGTCACCGAACTTCTCTTAAACGACTGGACCGATTTTGATGAAATTTTTCGTGTATGTTCAAGGGGATCTGAGAATGGTTTAGATTCACAATTTTGTCCGCTGGACAACCCCTATTTTTTTAGGGCGGTACGAAGTTCGCTGGGTCAGCTAGTAGTATATAAAATATTGGAATAGCTGGTGACTGAAAGATAGATGCTACGTTGTAATAAAGGAAAGGGATTCCTAAAGAAAATTTTACTAGAAAAAAGCCTACGCGGACCAGGCAGCAGACGGGACTCGAACCAGCATTTTTCGCTATCCGAGCGAATGCACTGACTATTATGCTACCGCGGCCCTGATGGTGCGGTTTCGAGTCCCGACTTCTGTCTGCTCCGCGTGGTTTTTTTTCTAGATAAGTTTTCTTTAGATTTTAACATCTAGCAATTAAATGACTAAAAAATAAAAACACGACAAGTATTTCGTCAAATTATCGTTCCATTTTGTGATTATTATAGGTATCTTAAATTTTTATCACTAACGTTGCGTCCAGGTTTTGTAACTTGTACAAGAAAAAACACCAATCGAATTTTTAAGTCGGTTAAAATTTACACAAGTAACACTAATGAATTACTATCACCTCAGCCAAATAATGTCCCCACTGCTGGGGCACAGACCTTCCCTATGGATGGAATAGGGAGATGAACGTGCCTTCCGAAGCACGGAGAAACTCGAGATTTTTGGTCACCCATCCAATGAGCGACCACTGCGAAAGTAGCTTAACTTCAACGATCGCAGCCGAACGCGCTAACCACTTGCACCATCGAGCTCCTCTTGCTAACTATACAGAATTACTATACAATGCGAGTATTCAGCGTAACCACGACGGACTAGCCCAAGAAGTCATAGGTCCGTATTACAGAATGACAACTAAGTTTTGATCTTTACTTGAGTACAATTAGAATGGGATATCGCTATGTGATATATATAGCGACATCCCTTTCTAACTATACTCAAGACTAGATCAATCTCTGAGAATCTCTTATCTAATAGACAAGTCCGTCCGTCCGTGGTGCTGTTTCAGCGGCCAAACCGTAAGAGATAGATAAAGTGAATGTTTAAGTTATAAGTTGAGAATAGTCTGATAAGACTACAAACCGGATGTGAGTAACGTAGCACTTCCGGTTTTCGAGAAATCAGGTTTTGGTGAACATTTGGTTCACTGGTTTGCTAGTCTCTTATCTATTAGACAAGTCCGTCTGTCTGTGGTGCTGTTTCAGCGGCCAAACCGTAAGAGATAGCTAAAGAGAATATTTAAGTTATAAGTTAAGAATAGTCTGATAAGACTACAAACCGGATTTGAGTAACGTAGCACTTCCGGTTTTCGAGAAATCAGGTTTTGGTGAACATTTGGTTCACTGGTTTGCTAGTCTTTCTATAATACGGGCCATAGAGAACTTTAGTTTTGTCCAGACGACGTTACGTTTTACATTTTTTATGCTTAAACAGTAGGACACCTAAACTTATAATTTTTATTTTTAGTCATGTAACTGCTCGATGTTTGAATCTAAACAAAATGTTACTAGAAAAAAATCCACGCGACATGCTACCGCGGCATAATGGTCAGTGCATTCGCCCGAATAGCGAAGGGTGCCGGTTCGAGTCCCGTCTGCTGCCTGGACCGCGCCGATTTTTTTCTAGTAACAATTTCTTTAGATTCATAAACTTGTTAAATCAGTTTTTTTTATTTTTTTATAGTAAAGTCATAATTGTCATATCATTTACATTTGTACTGGAATAAGTGACTTCATGAGTTATATCATATTGAAGTCATTTTTCAATTTGCGAAAAAAACAGCCCTTGCTGAGTTTTTTGCCGGTTCTTCTCAGTACAAGGTCTCCCGCCGTAGATTTGCGAACCGATGGCGTAGCTTTTCGACATTCACCACAAGTGCTTGTAACAGCCTAGACTGAATAGCCTCCCTCCCCTTTCGAATCTCACGTGAATGGACAGCCCCTTACAGAGTTGTCAAGTTAAAAAATGACTTCAGAGATGATTCATGAAGTCACCTTTCATTACATAATGTAAAATCTCTTATCTATTAGACAAGTCCGTCCGTCCGTCCGTCCGTGGTGCTGTTTCAGCGGCCAAACCGTAAGAGATAGATAAAGAGAATGTTTAAGTTATAAGTTGAGAATAGTCTGATAAGACTACAAACCTAATGTGAGTAACGTAGCACTTCTGGTTTTCGAGAAATCACGTGATTTCTATTTCAAACGAAACCACACAAAATCTCCGAAATTCTCAATTAATTAAATACTTTTTTTTTTTGGTGAACATTTGGTTCACTGGTTTGCTAGTTATACATTAATTGTTCAACTACATTTTGTTTGCTGTGTCATACAGTACAAATACAAAAAGTGTTATTTATATTAGGTGTAACAAGACATATAGTACGCAGACCCGAAATATATTACAACTAGCAAACCAGTGAACCAAACATTCATCAAAAAAAAATGTATTTAATTAATTGAGAACTTCGGAGATTTTGTGTGGTTTCGTTTGAAATAGAAATCATGTGATTTCTCGAAAACCGGAAGTGCTACGTTACTCACATCCGGTTTGTAGTCTTATCAGACTATTCTTAACTTATAACTTAAACATTCTCTATATCTATCTCTTACGGTTTGGCCGCTGAAACAGCACCACGGACGGACGGACGGACTTGTCTATTAGATAAGAGATACTATATATTACTAGCTGTCCCAGCGAACTTGGTACCGCCATAAAAAAATAGGAGTTGGTGACAGAAAGGTGAAACATTGGGGTTGTATTTATTTTTGTATACATAAATTAATTAAAAAAAGAATATTATCTAAAATTCAAAAATAAAAAATTAGGGGTGGATTCCCCTTAACATTTAGGGGGATGAAAAATAGATGTTGTCCGATTCTCAGACCTACCCAATATGCACATAAAATTTCACGAAAATCGGTCGAGCCGTTTAGGAGGAGTTTAACCACAAACACAGCGACACGAGAAGTTTATATATTAGACTAGCTGACACGGCGAACTTCGTACCGCCCAAAAGTAATAATTTGCAATAAATTAAAATTGCGACTATAATTTGAGATTTAAACTATCCTATCTCTCAAGTTGGATCGAACTGCACATGGTGTGCGAATTTTATTATAATCGGTTCAGTGGTTTAGGAGTCCATTGAAGACAAACATTGTGACACGAGATTTATATATATTAAGATAGTACGGTTGGCAACCCTATTTATGTCCTCCTTCTCCATTACCATTTCGTTTTACCATTTTTTTTCTGGCAATTATACTAACCTATGTATCGTCTCGTTGGCCACGTAAGTGTGTTGGTGGTCTGCATGGATCGGTAGTGGTAGGGTAGCAGGATCCTGTCCGGCCGGCACCTCGTATGTGTACGTCTTCACTGTGGTCGTCACCTTGTTCATGGGAGTCCCGGAACGGGGTAACTGGATGGAATAATAATACAGTGTTAATTTTAAAACATCAACAACCTCTTAGGGGGTGATTCTACCCATCAACAGGAACAACTTCTATTATGGGACCAACTCTGAAATCGCGAAAACAAATCTGCTGTTTCATATAAAAGTGCATCAGCTAATTCTTTTTCGTACCGCCATAAAAGTATGGGTTGGTATACGGTATTTATGTTAAAAAGTCTTATGTATATTTCATTTCATTCATAGGCTAACATATAAATATTTAACTTTCATTTAAGCATTTAACATATATAAAGTTAGTTAAGATGTTAAAATACAAAGTTATTTTACTAGAAAAAAATCCACGCAGACCAATAGACAGGACTTTATATAACTATAACTGCTATTTCTTCTTTCAAATGTTTAATAGATACTTGTAAAGGTATTGATTTGACATTGTGGGTTACCTACAATGCGAAGAGAAGCTGCCTTGCAGCCTAAGAAATACTAGAGAAAATTCGACACGGCCATTAGGGTCGCGGAAGCATAATGGTCAGTGCATCCGCCCGGATAGCGGAGGGTGCGGGTTCGAATCCCGTCTGCTGCACGGTCCATGTGGATTATTTTCTTGTAAAAGAAATATCTATAGTTGTAAATATTTCTTTCGTTTCTCTATGAATATAGCGAAAATGATGAGTGGGTATTCAGTTACCGTTCCGACTGGATGCTGGTGGCAGTGAGTGCAGACCGGGGCCGGGACCACGACCGGCGCCGGGACTGGTACCGGGACTACGCGGGACTCTGGAACAAATACCATATCAAATATACAGTGTTAATTTTAAAACATCAACAACCTCTTAGGGGGTCATTCTACCCATCAACAGGAACAACTTTTATTATGGGATTTCTTTTTCAATTACCTATTATTTTTAAACTTAGTTTATGAGAATCAAAAATATTTAATGATCTCGGTATCTTGAATAGTGTACCCTATTCAAATGCAAATAAAATAATTCTAATTCTTAATCTAAGTCGGTATCATGCTGGAAACGAACCAGAATCTTTACCTTTTGGAAAAATTAAAATTTAATTTTACTCTGTTAAAAAAGAATGACTTTAGCTTAAATAAAAATGTAGCACTTAAATGATAAAATAAAAATAAACTAGCAAACCAGTGAACCAAATGTTCACCAAAACCTGATTTCTCGAAAACCGGAAGTGCTACATTACTCAAATCCGGTTTGTAGTCTTATCAGACTATTCTTAACTTATAACATAAATATTCTCTTTATCTATCTCTTACGGTTTGGCCGCTGAAACAGCACCACAGACAGACGGACGGACTTGTCTAATAGATAAGAGATAATAGACAAAAATACATTACCAGTGGTTTCCTCCCTAAACATCTCTTGTCTCAGCTCGGTGCTGCGCGCGGGCACGGGGCTGGAGCTCCATGAAGAACTCTCGAGGCGTTCTTCGCGCTTTTTACTACTAGAACCTTCGAAAAAGAAAGTTTTAAAATGTTAATATGTAGGTGAGGAGCTCGATCCCCGTGACGGCAACCCCCCTTGTAGTTCTGTCCTGCAAAGAGGGGGGTAGCCTTGTTGAAAATATATCGATGTATCGATATATCGATATTTTTTGTTCGATATATCGATATTTTTTGCCGATATATTTTGATTCGATATATCGATACATCGATACAAAATAACCAATATCGAAATTCGTTACAAAAACGATATTTTTTTAATTATTAGCGGCATATCACGATCTAACTAAATTCGTATCTGGTAAAATCGTAACTGGATCTCAGATTAATGATATTCAACATGTCTATGATCTGTGCTGTATTTAGTATTGTCTATTATTTGTAAATCTGTTTCGCTGGTGAATTGGTTGTGCTGATTTCCATTATATTCTGTGAAGTGTGTGACTGTCTAGTCTTGTTTACGAAAGAGACCCTGCAATCATTTACCTGAGAGGCCCTGCAATCATTTTCATCATTCGGAAATAGGGTCTATTTTTAGTGAGATAATTTTCGTTCCATTATTATTCCGTGTGTCATATTTCGTGAGATACTGTACGATATGTTTGGGAAAATTGGTCCGATATATCGATGTTTTTAGGGTTCCGTACCTCAAAAGGAAAAACGGAACCCTTATAGGATCACTTTGTTGTCCGTCTGTCCGTCCGTCCGTCCGTCTGTCAAGACCCTTTTTCTCAGGAACGCGTGGAGGTATGAAGCTGAAATTTATATCAATTACTCAGGTCTACTGTTCCTTGAAGCTGTGAAAAAATCAAACTTCTAAGCCAACGCAATCAAAAGATACAGCCGTTTATGCCGCAAATTTTCGACACTTGCAAGGGAATCAAAACCTACAGGGTGCTTCCCGTGAACTCAGAATCTTGAAATTTGGTACCAAGCAACGTCTTATAGCATAGATAAAGGAAAAATTACGAAAACCATAAATTTTTAGTTACATCACATAATATATTTTTTTTTAATAATTTTAACCTTACTACCCATTTCCTCATAAACGCGTAGAGGTATTAAATTGAAATTCATACCAAATACTCAGGTCTATAATACCTTTAAGCTGTAACAAAATCAAACTTCTATGTCAACGCAATCAAAAGAAACAGCAATTTAAGCTGCATATTTTGAAACTCGCAAGTACTCGCAAGGGAATCAAAACCTAAAGGGTACTTCCAGTCGACCTAGAATCTTGAAATTTGGCATGAAGCAACGTTTTATAGCACACATAAAGGAAAAATTCCGAAAACCTTAAATTTTTAGTTACATTACAAAATATATATTTTTTAATAAATATAAACTTATTACTTTTTTCCTCATGAACGCGTAGAGCTATCAAGTTGAAATTCATATCAAATACTTAGATCTAATTGCCTTTAACCCGTGAAAAAAAAAAAATCTAAGTCAACGCAAAAACGCAAAACGCAAAAGTACAACCATTGATACCGCATATTTTGAAACTCGCAACTACACGCAAGGGAATTAAAACCTAAAGACCACTTCCCGTTGTCATAGAATCTCGAAATTTGGTAAGAAGCAATAGCTTACAGCACAGGTAACAGAAAAATTCCGAAAAGCTTAAAATTTTAAGTAGTTATACCACCAAAAAAATTGTGATTGTAAACATAATTGTAGTTACAGCAATGACCGCGAGTTATTATACTATGTATGGGGAGGGCAACATTTTTCAAACGGCAAAGACGACCTCACTCATCGTCATTCAATCCCGATGTTTTGGTGAATGTAGCTGTATAATCTAAATGCGTCCTAACTGCTTAAAGTGTTAATGTTGCAATAGAATGTATAAATACAACAATATTCGGCAGCAACCTCAATATGTACACTTCATCTTCTCGTCTGATTGTTGTGGGAGACTTCAATATAGATTTTAGAATGAATCCCCAAAATGGAATTTCCACATATTTTTCATCCATAAACATGTTTCCGTTAATAAACAGTAGCACTACACGAAGTTGTACAACTATTGATAACGGTTTTTCGAACTTCAATGTTCAATGTGGTACTATTCATAACTTTTTCAGTCACCATTTACAGGTCTGGTTCAAATTTAATACTTAATTAATATTTTTGAACCAGATTTCTAAATAGTGACTAAAAAACTTAGTAAATAAATAACTTTAATAAAAGAACTTTCGCAAGTCTGCTGCAAGGCTAGTATAAGTGTTTCAGTTATATTATAGATAAATGATATGTGTTAATATAAAATAAAGGATTACTTAAACGATAAAGAGATCTTTGTCTTAAATTTATGCTCCTCCATCTTTCCCCATTGTAATGTTATGAATTTCATTTTGCAATAAAAATACCATAGTTATGACTCGATTGTCGTAATGAACGAACTTTGTAAACCATGCAGGTTTGTACGGAACCCTCGGTGCGCGAGTCCGACTCGCACTTGGCCGGTTTTTTTCGCGATATATCGAAGCCGATATTGATATTTTTTAAAAGATCGATGTATCGATATTTTTTTCAACTTTCGACGTCCCTAGAGGGGGGCGGCGGAGACGGAGACCGGGAGACCCCTGCCGCGGAGCCCCGGCTAGGCCGGGAGGCTGCTAGGTGCGGAGACGCGGAAGAATCCCTAAACGGGGATCCCGCGGCTTCGCGCTAAGCAGCTTAGAGGGTGTTCGCAGGGTTTTAGCGGATATTATGCCGTAAAGCGCTCGTAAGGCTTGCGGGAGTCAGGTGTGAGGTCCGTTCGGTGGTGTGCCTCTTAAAGGCGCCGTCGTCTGTAAATAGTATTTTTTGGCTGCGTATAAAAAAAAAGGAGCAGCTCGATGGCGCGGGTGGTTAGCGCATTCGGCTGCGATCGTTGAAGTTAAGCTTCGCAGTGGTCGGTTATAGGATGGGTGACAAAAAATCATCTATCTCGAGTTCCTCCGTGCTTCGGAAGGCACGTTAAGCCGTTGGTCCCGGTTGCATCTGCCATCGTTAGCACCCGCCAATCCGCACTGGGCCCGCGTGGTGGGTCATGGCCTAATCTCCCTATTCCATCCATAGCCTGTGCCCCAGCAGTGGGGACATTAATAGGCTGACGATGATGTTGATGTAGGTAAATATCCCAAGGATGTTTTACTCTAATGGCGCGATTTATACATTTGGTCGTTAGCCCGAATACTAGTAGACTCTATGCCCGAATACGAGTGCCAATGTAATTCGGGTAAACGACTAAGTGTACTTGAACTTAGTCGAGTACGCCAGTATTCGGCCAGAAAATTTTTGTGTTAACCCCACACAGTCTTCCAGTTCTTATTCCAGTGTAAATATTGCTCCTGGAGGCCATTCGCCTAACGGGATTGCATTGGGAAACGCTATCGCTTACGATTTCATTTTGGTTGTTTCTAGCCACCTGAGGTTTTCAAATGCCTCGCGCTCTTTTTTTTTCTAACCAAACAATAATAAAGAAAATGAACATGAGGTATTTGAAAATCTTCGGCGGTCAGAAAGAACAAAATGAAATCGTAAGCGATAGCGTTTTCCAAAGCAATCCTGTTAGGCGAATCGCCCTCTGGTGCCCGAATTCGAGTAATGTCTTTCGTGCACCCGGATACGGGTTAACGACCAAATAAAATTGTGGCATTATGCGTAGCTAGGGCTTTTTCTCCAGGAGGGCGGCCGTCTAGCCGAACTAACATTAATTCTGGAATAAATTAATCATAATCATAACGTTTATTGCATCATGTTGGTACATGGGTTTTTAAAATAAAAAAATGATATCGCAACATGAGCCCTGCAAGGGCATTGTAAAAATGTTCTTAATTTCTAACAAACATAATCACAAATGTTTACTTTTGTGAAACATTTTACTTACAGTAAATCCATTTTTTTATATAATACTAGCTGCCAAAAAAATTTTAGGGGTGTGTAACGTAGAGTTTTATCAATTTCCTAGGATCACATTCCTCCTAACCCATATGAGAACACTACGATACAATACCCAAAAATATGAATTTTGGCGCGAAGGCGCATTGTAGGTTTCAGAACACTACGTTACAGGAGGACTACCATTACATGAAAAATAGATAGTAGTCGATTCTCAGACCATATAGACAATATGCATAAAAAATTTCAAGTGTCGGAGGAGTATGGTAACTAACATTGTGACACGAGAATTTTATATTTAAGATCCTTTAGCAGCATCCTTTTATACATGATGGCAAATAAATAAATAAAATAAATTTCTTAATTATCACAGTACGGGTGAAAGGACGATGTTGGCTATTACTTTTTTCTCGCTCTTTATTTTGCCAAACAGTCAATTCATAAATCTTTATTACGTACAAATATTTCATTATTTTATAGACAGCGTTATATATTTATTGTCCAAAGGTACATCATGTTGCGTCTCTTTCTATCTTGTAGAATTGTCGTAAGGATATAAGGTATATCTCTTTTCCTCAACCTGTCAGGTCCGTATTACAGAATGACAACTAAGTGTTGATCTTTACTTGAGTACAGTTAGAAAGGGATGTCGCTATGTGATATATATGGCGACATCCCTTTCTAACTATGCTCAAGACTAGATCAATCACTGAGAATATTTCTATAAAACGGGCAGTACTAAGTTTATGGTAATGACGATGTAAAGGTCATCTGCGACCATCAGCATACACACTCGAAAAATTTGGAAATGACTATGTAATAATAATGATAAATTATTTATTTGTTTCAAAATACAATTGGTACAATACACAAATAGAATGAAAGTAAATTAGAATTGAAACAAAAAGGTATGTGTATGGCTCAGCATGTGACAGTCAAGTTTTGACTTGTCGCTGATATTCTGCCAATTATTATTATATTTTGAAAAACACAACACCAGCAAGTCGAGACAATAATGTAGTTTAAAATAGTACTAGCAATTACATAGCATCAACTTAATAGTGTTGGTGTGGTACTTACCGGTGGTGTCATGGTGGTGCAGTGGGGCAGGGGGACTCCAGGATGAAGACTCCACTCGTTCCTCGCGTCTTAGCGTCGAGTAACCACTGGAAGGGGCTTTTACTGCAGTTCTGTTGGGTATAAAAATTGCATTAGTCGCAAATGACTTTATCCTGCTCGAAGGACCAAGTACACGCTTTACTTAATTATAAATAAATTGCAATAGTAAAAAAACTCTTTTATTTAGTGAAACAATTATCATAAATGTATTAAGTAAATGTATTAATAGTAATTATATTTAAAGTAGTTATTTAATAGAACTATGACAGAATTTTAATAATCCATTAGGTTTTTTTGAGCCTTTAATAAGTATGAATATAATGCTTATTACATGTTATGATTTGGTGTTACAATTTCTCTATGACTTCATAAAATTTCACATGTATCAGTCTATTGGGCTATTGAATTCTAAGAAATAATTCATCTCTGTTAATATTTATTTTTTATTTATTTAGGAAAACAAACAATCGTACATTAAAACTTTGAAAACAATACAGTTGGAATAAAATTACTCCGATTGATTCGCGGTAGCCGCAGCAGAGTTGTGAGGGATTTAGTTTATCGTGGAGACTGTCAACTGATTATTTTTTTCGTAGATAGGGTTATATCGGTTTTTAAATAATTTACAAACATAGTATTAAGTATTGTATACTAACACATGGATCAATGTTGTCCGATTAATAAATGATTTGAATTTGATTTAAAAAATAAATAATTGTACAATCCACACCGTTATCCCTTAAATTATTAAAAATACATCTCAGAAAAAAAAGAAGTCAAGAACACTAAAAGTTTTCGAATTCTCGAGATAAGCAAGTAGTCACAAAATAAAATTTAAATTGCATAATATACATAATATATATTTATTCTATATAATAATTATTTACATAGACTACTAAGTTTTGTGATAATTTCCTTTTTGAATGAGCCCGGTGATAGGGAAAAAATATCAACATTATAAAGGAAGTCATTGTATAGGGACGACATTTTGTGAAATGGTGCTCGTTTTCCTGCATTAGTCCTGTGTATTTGACATGCAGGGCCGGATTTAGGATTGTGGAGGCCCCGGGCCACTTAGGATTATTTGTATTCTTGTTAACCAATCGAAATGTTGTTATTTCTTAAGCAGTTGTGGAGGCCCCTGGGCCACAGCCCCACCTGTCCTGCCTTAAATTCGGCCCTGCGGGCAAGTACCACCCCACTCAGCCAATAAGCGATTGGGGTACTCTCTCAAGATGGGTAGTGAATTGGAAGTGCTTATCAGGGCCATTTGAGATTTTGATATTTCACTGATTGTCTGATTGGAGTGAACAAATATAGATCAATGATTTCTGTTATTTAAGATTAATATAATCAAATAATCATGTATGTTAGATGTACAAAGTACTGTAGGCTGTAGGTAAAGGTAAAAGAGCAAAAAAAAATATCAAAGGAAAAGATGTCTACTAGTGTTTACTAGTTGGAATTTGAAAGATTTTTTTTCTCAAGTCTCTATTGTGGGGGCCCCCCGTTTGTGGAGGCCCCGGGGCTTTCGCCCCGGTTGCCCTCCCCTAAATCCGGCAGTGTTAACATGAAATAGAAGATTATTAACCAAGGTGATAAAGCAGTGTCTTCTGTCGCGGGTGACGATTAAAATAGCGTGCGTAAAGAAGGACTCGAGGTTTACACCCGAGCGTAGCAAGGTTGTTAAAAACTTAAATCACGAGCGAAGACAGGGATTTAAGACGAGTCCAGAGTGTAGCGAGGGATTTAAGTTCACCCAAGACTAAGACAGCATTATCACCGAGGAAAATACTCTACTTTTCGTACCATTTGCGAAAAAATTAACACAATAATAATATGAGATAAGCATTAATTAAAAAGAATGACAATTAATAGTAAAAGTTAACATTCGAAACATTGGTCCAATTAATCCTCCCGGCCTCGTCGGTTTTCGTAATTTCATTTAATAATCATAACTGCACAATAAATGCGTCTTCCTTTTTCAAAAAGATGTTCAATGCTTTTTAAACAAACTCAATGGTGTAAACACAGATGTAGTTCAGTATAAATTTCGGTAAGTAATCACATTTTCCCCCTAGAGGATGAATGAAATTCAGTACAATTTTCTTTCCCTGTTTTTAACAGATTAATAATGGACCCAATTCTGGCGTGATTCTCTAAACTTAAAACTAAATTTAACATCAGTCTCTCCATTTCATTCTGTATAGAGAATGACAAGGATATACTGCTGTCAAATTTAAGTTTAGGTTTAGAGAATCGTGTCAGAATTGACACCAATGACTATTGTTATGTTCGCTTTTTGTGGCATAGAATGTCACTTTTTTGAGCAAGTGGTACGAAAAAGTTATATTATCTCACCCTCGTTTGTAGTCGAAAGATGTGCTTTCTGCCGTGTCCGATGTGTAACCACCTAAAAAATAACATAAAATATTTAATTATAATTTTATTCGGTGAACATATCAGGCTGGGATCAAACCAACTCGAGGAGCTCGATGGCGCAAGTGGTTACAGCGTTCGGCTGCGATCGTTGAAGTTAAGCGACTTTCGCAGTGGACGGTCATTGGATGGGTGACTAAACATTTACTATCTCGAGCTCTTCCGTGCTTTAGAAAGCACGTTAAGCCGTTGGTACCAGCTGCATCTGCAGTCGTCAGCATCCACCAATCCGCACTGAGCCGCGTGGTGAGTCATGGTCCAATCTCTCTATTCCATCCATAGGGAAGGCCTGTGCCCTAGCAGTGGGGACATTAATATGCTGATGATGATGAAATCAACGCCATGGCGGCCAGTGTACATAGTTTTAGTGCTCTAACCACTGCCCCATCGAGCTCTACAAAAGCTAATTTGAAATGTAAACATTTGTAAATCTAAAGAAAATTTATCGGCACGGATAGAAGCAGATGCGGTTTCAAATCCCGGTTGAAACGTGGACTTTTTTGCTCTAGTAATATTTACTTTACAAACATCTAGCAATTAAATATTTAAAAATAAATATATATCAATCTAGGTTACAATTTTGTTATGTTTTTAGTTCTAAACATTATTTTTGCTGAGGAGCTTGATGGGTCAGCGCGTTTGGTCTGCGATCGTGGAAGTTAAGCAACTTTTGCAATGGTCGGTTAACGGATGGGTGACCAAAAACTTATTACTGATCGCTCACTCCTTCGTGCTTTGGAAATAGGGTTACCAACTTTTTTTCTATCAAATATAGTATTTTTCAAGCTGTTGCCTCTAACGACTTTTTAGAAATTTAGTATTTGATCCCCAAATATAGTAGGATACTATATTGTATAGTAGGGTTGGCAACCCTATTTGGAAGGTGCTTTAACCCGTTGGTCCCGGCTGCATCTACAGTCATTGGATCGCGTGGTGGGTCATGGGCTCATGCAAAGCCCAATTTCCGTAATCCATCTATGCATACTAAAAGCTTTTGCTCCAGCAGTAGGGACGTAACGATGATAATGATGATGATAATTGTGAAAGTAGAACGTTACTGACTCTTATAGAGCTGTCGTTCCTGGTCCTTCTGCAGGTCGTCCAGGAGAGAGTCCAGCTCCTCCACGTTCTGCGACAGGTCTTTGGTCACCTTCGAGCTCTTGATCTTCGAATTACCTACAACAAAGATAAAATTTAAATAATAATAATAACAAAGTATTTGTTTTACATCAAATATGATCAGCTGGTTCGGGAAGCTTAGGCACATCCTCACGGCCAAAATTCCCCAGTGCCTGAAAAGAAGGGTCTATGACCAGTGTGTGTTACCAGTGATGACTTATGGGACTGAGACGACCACGTCTAGAGACCACTCTGAATGTCGGCCACATAACAAAACTCAGTCGCGCAGCGTGCTATGGAGAGGGCTATGCTCGGTGTTTCCCTACGTGATAAGATCCGAAATACGCAGATCCGTAGAAGGACCGGTGTGTACGACATAGCCCGAAGAGTTAGCATACTGAAGTGGCAATGGGCAGGCCACATCGCTCGAGGATCTGACAAACGTTGGGTAAGAAAGGTCCTCGAGTGGCGACCACGTACCGGACGACGCAGCGTGGGGCGCTGCGTCGCCAACAAGGTGGACTGACGACATCGTCAAATGTGCTGGGAGCCGCTGGATGCGGATACACAGGACCGCGCATTGTGGCGTTCTATGGGGGAGGCCTATGTCCAGCAGTTGACGGAGAAAGGCTGATGGATGGATGAATCAGCAGGGGGCTATTGCTAAGGCTATAGCTATAGCTTGTGATTTCATTTTGCTAATTCCGATAGAGGAAGGTTTTCAAATGCAACGCGCACTTTTTTTTCTTTTGTGTTAGTAATAACAATATTGAAGAAAATGAGCATAAGGTTATTTGAAAACCTTCTGTGTTCAAAATCAACAAAATTAAATCTTAATCATAAGCTGGCTCTAGCCATAGTAATTTCGGTAGGCGGAAAGCCCCTAAGGGCTGATAGAAAGTTTAAGATGGAAAATGGATGGATCGCTTATTTTTTTCTGGCCAATTACTATGTTCCGGAGATCCCTCAGAGAAATCCTAAGTATAGTTCTTTCCATAGCTCGCTGTGGCTGTGCAACCCTAACGGTGCTTTTCCACCAGAGATGTACTATGCAGCTATGCTGCTGATGCGTTTGATATCCACCAATCAAAAACATTGCTCCACATAGCATAGCACTGGTGGAAACGGGTTTATCTAAGCTATGGTTTTTTATATGGAAGGTTGCGTGCCATGGATGCAAGGGCGGATCCAGCTTTGGCGCCAGGGGGGATCATATAGTCGTGGTATATTAAATATTGAAAGTACTTAAATAAAATCCCCTGGGTTTGGTCCATCTGTACCCAACCATGGGGGCATGACCCCCCCCCCCCTGGATCCGCCCTTGTATGGATGCGTGCTATGACGCCACGCTACTGTAGTGCATCTGGCATGTTTGCGGACGCAAGCACTGATGACTTTTATGCTATTATGCGTAAAAAAGTCGCGTCACTGGTGCATCGGCTGCAGGGAGGTTGTAACAGAGTCCTGAGTATGTTAGCAAATAGAATGGACTCCCCGCTGCTCGGTCAGTTCATCAAACTACATGTTTGGTGACCAGGCCGAGGGGAGGGGGCAGTAAAAATTAGTAAAAATTAATAAATTTTTTAATTATTTTAATTCTGAAATTATTTATTTTAATTATTTCTATAGGTATATGTTAATGATTTAATAATGTTTATATATGTTATAATGATGATTGAAATTGTAATGAAATACTAACATAGGTTAAGAAAAATTGTTACTAACATATATGAGACCAATGTCTTGAAATAAATGATTTTTATTTTTATTTATTATTTATGAATGCGAGCTCTGGATGCGGGCTATGATGGCCGCGAGTAGTGTAGCTATAGCAAGAGTGCTTCCCTACTATCGATACATCGCCTAACTCGAGCTGCATATCTACCTCACGCAGTTACTTTGCGGTGGCGTAGCACATCTTACTCGCCACGGTACATAGCTTAGCATCAGTGGAAACGGTCACGTAGTTTCGTAGCTAAGCTGACACATACTCGCAGCACAGCTGTATAGCACATCTCTGGTGGAAAAGCGCCCTTATTCACGAGGATAATGTTTATTATTGTTTATTTTTACGAGGATATTATATTATTAAAAGCATTCCTTAAGAAACACCAACAAATTGCAAGTTATTGTTTAATTAAATAATGATATATACACGGACTAGTTATGGGAGGAAAACAATATTATCTGAGGGAGTACAACTGTTTAACGAGCTAGGTACCAGATGAAACAAAAAATTGCGATTGTAAAAATACATTTAAAAGTAAATTAAAAGAGTATATCACACTTAATTTAAAAAAAAAATAAGAGGGAAATTCTAAGAATAATGTTAACACAAAGCTGTACAATAAGTCACAGTAATGTAATTGTTTGTATACTGAACCGATACTGCAGAAGCGGTCACACAGTAATATCAGAATGTAAAATTGTAAATCTCATTATAAGTAAACTGTGTTTTTGAAGTTATACTTCTTTAGCCGCGTTATGAAAAAATTTTGAGAGTGAAATTTTAAGGTGCGCGCGCATCACTGTAACACAAAAGTAACATAATGAAGTTAGCCGCGGGCGCGTTATGAAAAAATCATGTGAGTGAAATTTCGAGATGCGCGCGCACCACTGTAACACAATAGTAACACCATGAAGTTGGCCGCGGGCGCGTTATGAATGTTAGTGTCTAATTTAATTAACCACTAAGTGGTTAATAATGCACCATTATTAGACATCTGTTCGAAAGGTACTTTGAACGATCCACGGAGCTCCATAAGATGATCGCGTTGTCAAAAACAATGTTGCCACGCTCGTCGCCTCTGATCACTGTTTTCATATTTATAATATTTATCCACATGTTTCTAGTTTCTATATAGACACAACGTGTTTTAGTTACTTACAAGTGCTAATTACATATGGACTAATAACTTAAATTCAATAGTGATTTTAATTGAATATTTTGAATATTTATTAAATTTTTCAAATTAAAACTGAACTTAATTGACTGTGTTAACTATCCTTTTCCAGTCCTTTTATTATTTTATTGTAATTATTAATTATTTGCATGCAATTAAAAATATTTTTAATGATGCTAAAGAAGTATAACTTCTCACGCGCGTAAAGTTACACGCATCCATTTTTTTATGAGAAATAAACTCTTTGCACACATATTGTTTACCTACATCATGATGTAATTACTTACCTGGTGTAGTGGAAGTGTTAGAGGTCTCGTAGTTGTAAGTCCTAACCCCTGATGTTATGGAGGGCAGTTCCCGCTCCTCACGCTCGTAGTAGTAGGAGCTGCTCTCTGATGCCTTCGGCACCTTCTTCGGAGGGATGCTGTATTGCTGGAGGAGAAACGTGTGACTTTATTATGAAGTTTAAATAATAAATACTTTATTTTCTCTCCACAATTTTATAGGTACATGCTTCATAGGTAACAGATTATAAACCTTAGGTAGTTTATATAGAACTACAACTATCAAATGCTACCGCAATTCACAATAATGCAACGACATCTATTAAAGAAAATACAAACTAAAATATATTAACTACTTTGGTTCTATATGGATAGTGTTGTCAATGTGTACCTCAACAGTATGCAAATCCTTCCGGTCGTATTTCCCCGACGGATGCTTCTCCTCTTTGTACTCGTAGTGGTACTCGCGGGCCCCCACCCCGTTACCCAGGGTCTCCAGCTTGCTGCCTTTCGGGATCAGCTCGGACTTTAGCATGTCTGCAAGTGTTGAATAAAATTTCCTTGTTAAGAAACACTTCTTCATAAGTTGCCAACTTATAATGACTTTTGGGGAAATTAACGCTATGAACATTTTTAGGGAAAGTTTGAGAAATGCCACTTATGTTTATAAATATTTACGCAAAAGCCAACATAGTAAGATTAATTTGAGCCTTTGCTAAGGTGGGTGTTTGCATATTGCTACTGTTAGAAAAATCGAGGATAGTCCAGCACATATAACTATACCTAGACATTTTTTGCGAAGCTGATGGTGGTTGGCCAGGTCGACGGGAGAAGATCACGCAGTTGGTCACCTAGCAGTTGGTCAGCTAGTCAGAACTAGTTACTGACCTATCAATAACTAAGGCTATACAGACTGCCGAGGACAGGATAGGAGAATACGTGGAGAAGCATAGTACATCAGGTGGTCAATATTTCAAGTTACACACGACCTTAAGCAATGAAGACAGCGACTAAGAAGAAGAAATTTTTTACTATAAATATTCAACTATTTAGTAATCTGGAATGATCTGGGGAAATTGCATGATCTGGGTTAAGCAGGCTTTGATCGAGTATAAAAGCCACGGATAAGGGCCAAAACAATGGAGGCACGATTGATTTTGTGTTTACCATCATAATGGACGAAAGAGGGAGTACTAGCTGAGTAAAGAAGATTTTCATTGATGCCAAAATTATTGATGTTCCCAAACCCCTTTTTTTACAATGTTTTGTAAAATTACAAAATGAATTTGTAAAACTACAATAAAATAGTTAAATGACATTTTAATCACCGTTTATTAATTACGCCTGAACAATTAGTCGTATTAGTTCAGGTCACGTGCCATAAAAAAGTGTGTGGAATCGAGTCGCGAATATAAGTAGTTGATGCTGCAGATGTGAGCTGTTACAGTTATCCTTGCCGCCTTCATGCCGACCTAACCTGCCTGCACCTAATGTCATAAAAAGGATCTTTAGCAAACAAAATATATATAATTTTAAATAGGAACTAAAAAATATTAAGTGGGATGAGATAATAAAAGAGAGCCATAACGTGAATCAAAATTACAATTCTTTTCATACAACGTTAAAAAGTATATTAGATAGAGTTATACCTAGGAAACAAATAAAAATAAAAGGAAGATCCTTTAAAGGCTGGCTTACCAGTGGAATAAAACGTTATTTAAAATTACTTTTATCACAAACTGCTAACCCCATACTTCAATGTCACTATAAAATTTATGAAAAAATATTAAAAAAAGTAGTCTAAAGTAGTATAAAATTTATGAAAGTACTTCTAAAAAACTACAATATGTAAGCCGAATGAAAAACACTACAAATAAAACGAAAACAATGTGGACGATCATAAAGGAAAGAACAAACAAGCAGCCTAATAGACATCTACAAAACTCGACGACGACGATGCACTCAAAATAGCAAATAATTTTAATGACTTTTTCTCATCAGTAGGTAAAGTGACTGGAGCAAACCTTACACAAGGCAGACCTGTCCTAAATCCGACCGACAGCTCGTTATTTCTATGGCCCGTTGATTGCCCAGAAGTAAGACTTATAATAAGAAACTTAAAAAATAAGCGTAGTTTTGGTATAGATGAATTGCCTCCAATACTAATTAGAGAGTGCGTTGACGAACTGACACTTCCATTCACACTTTTAATTAATCAATCATTTCAAGAAGGATCTTTTCCAGATAAACTTAAAATTGCAGTAGTTAAGCCAATTCACAAAAAAGGAGACAAAACCGACAAATAATTATCGTTCTATTGCACAGTTATGCACCTCATCTAAAATCATAGAAACTGCTATGTGTCGAAGGTTGAACAGTTTCTGTGAGGTTAAAATATTCGATGAGAGTCAGTTTGGATTTAGGAAGAAAAGATCAACTACCATGGCTGTGTATCATTATATACAGAAAGCACTTGAAATTATAAATAATAAACAATATGCAATCGGTATTTTGCTCGATCTAAGCAAAGCATACGAACGAGTATCATTCAAAACCCTACTTTCGAAACTTTATGGCATTGGTGTGAGAGGAATCGCCCACAATTGGTTTGCATCGTACTTGAGTGGTCGGCAACAGTGTGTGGAGGTTGACAAGTATGATCCAATAACGGGAGGTATTACAAACTGCAGATCAGAGAAATGTGAAATGCCAAACTCCATAACCACAAGGCACCGTACTGGGCTGTGTTCTTTTCCTGGTGATTGTGAACGATTTGCCAAAAGTGATACAGAATCATTGTGTAGCCTTTGCTGATGATGTGTCTGTATTATTTCCATGCGCTTCACTTTCCTCATTGAATACTAAGCTCTCCCAAATATTCGAAAACATCATGGAATGGTTAAGCGATCATAATTTGGAAATAAATTTAAAATAAACCAAGTTAATGCAATTCAGACCACGACAAAAGAATCCAATAGAAATTAAATTCTCCATGGGCCAAACAATTATTGAATGTATCCATAATTTCACTTTGCTCGGCTTAGAAATAGATACCAACATTACATGGAAGGCCCACATTGAAAAAATAAAAAATAAATTGTCACGCTTGATATACGCCTTGTCTGAAATAAAACGTAGCACAGACTTACAAACCGCTCTTGCAGCATATTACGCCTATGCGTATTCTTGGCTACATTACGGTGTGATATTATGGGGGAATAGCCTTAGATTAAAACAAAAAGGGTAGATACGGTACGCTCTTACTTGCATCAAACAAAAACTGATCCCACTTTACTACATATGCAACACTCACACATCCACCTGTTTGTAAAGATACAATCGAACGAACGAAACAGCAATATAAGTTTCAACGGCAGCGCGAACGGGACGGCGAGATCCGCGTCACTGCCCTACCGACCAATCACGCGACCAGTACTCGACGTCACTACAGAGTAGCGTCAGAGAAAAAAAATAAAAGTATTTTTTATTAAATATAAGTTTTTTATTAAAATTCAATAAAAAAAATCCACATTGAGCAATTTTTAATCTACTTTGAAAAGCTGAGGGAATGAAACAGTTTACAAGTATACCTACTAAAAGTAGGTTTTTTACATGATAACGTCAACATTTTTTTAAGGTATCTTATACTGCTGGATGTGGTCATTTTTATTGTATTCAATGTTTAAAAGAATCTAATCGAGATACAATTTTTACTAGAAACTTTTCACTTATTATATTTGAATACCAATCATAAACTGATTGTTCAATAAATAAAAAAAGAACTAAAATAATATTAAAAAAGTTAAAATCAGACACACAATATTATATCACCTGATAAAAAATCAGTTAACAAGCGTACCTACTAAAAGTAGGTTTTTTATACGATACCGTCAACAATTTTTTAAGATACCTTGTACTGCTGGATTTGGAAATTTTCATCGCCTACAGTATTTAAAAGAATCTAATCCGAAACACTTATTATATTTCTCTTCTAAGCATGAATTTCTTGTTTTATAAATCTAATCTAAACTATACTTTTAATTATTCATTTAAATAATAAAAAAATATAAAGGTAAAATTAAATAACAAAAACAATAATCATCATCGATAAATAAAAATAAACATAAGTTATGCCTTGGGCTTTATAACAGAAGTAAGAATCTTACTAGGTACCTACCTACTGTGTGGCAATAGGGTTGATGACAAAACCTTTTTTTCTTCGTCGGCCAGGTAAATTAATAAAAGTATTGGACAAGTATTTATTTCTTATTCACATAATCAAAACATTACAGAGATATGTTGATATGAAATTTCCCATGACGTCACGTCTTGGTACAATTTTTACTTAGAAGTGACTTTACAAGCCTTCTCTCCCAAACTTTCATGCGCTCTATCCTTTTGGTATTAGTTTCCAAAACATAGAACCATTCTAAATCGAAAGAAGCTCCGGAATATCCGGGAGTGGACCGGTATTGCCTCCGTCGAACAGTTGTTCCGGCTGGCTGCTGATAGAACTACATACAGGAAGCTAACGGCCAACCTTCAGGATTGAAGAGGCACTGGAAGAAGAAGATTACAAAAACAATTTTAAACCCTACAAAGAATGAAAACGCCATTTCTGTAAGTACAGAGAATATTAAAGCTAAAATGTCTGAAAAAATAAATAAACCTCTTCGAAGAAACCAAAATGTAATGAGTTTAATAAATGCAGCATATTTTTTACCTACATAAATTAATATTCCAAAAAAAAATACGAAATATTTTTTTTGTTAACTCTACCCAATTTTTACTCTCGACTGACATTACAATGGCAAATATTCGCGCTTATGCTTTTTCTCCCTCATACAAACGTTTACAAGTGTTGTTGTCTTTTTTTAATAACAAATACCGAATAAGATTCAAAACAAACAGCATTTTTTATGAAAAAATATATTTTATAGTACTTACGAATGAAAAGTGATGCCGTCGGTTTTATTTTTAGTTCTTGAGCAATTTGAGCACTATTTAAAACAACACTTAGGCATTGTTTTATCATATAATCACAAAATTTTAGCAATATTTCTTTTTGACGTTCACATGTACGTCATTTGCATGTCAAGTTGTGACTAAAGCGATTGTGGCCTTGGGCCACAATTTATGCGGATCACTTTTGTGAGGCTAGTGCCGTATCTACCCTTTTTGTTTTAATCTAAGGGAATAGCACTGCTGTCCAAGGTTTGTTCGTGATACAAAAGAAATGCATATGTCACGGTCGCCAAATGTTCGTGAATATTAACCGGCGCTATGCCTTGCCCCGAACTTCTTTATTTTGTTAAGGAAACGCTTGTAAGTTCAGGGATAAATATATAATTAGAGCGTACAGAAATTATAAAAACACAAACTTATAAAAACTTACTTCAGTGTAAAAAACATGACACACAACATTTTTTTTTGTCTATCTATCTAACATGTCAAACTAAATTCAAATTAAATTATGCTGCCTGCATCTTCAAAAAAAGGTTCCACGACATATACTAGTCAACATTGAACAAACTGAAAGCCTGAAAGCTGCAGACCACATTTTAAAGAGCTTAAAATTCTAACCCTAACAAGTTTATATATTTTCGAACTCTGTAAATTTGTAAAACAAAACCCAAGCTATTTTAAGACTAACGAACAAATGCGGGGAAATACACTAAATATACGTTTTAAAGATAACCTCCACTTACCAGCCAGTAGATTAAAAATGTTTAGCAGTAGTACATTTGTCATGTGCATTAAAATATATAATAAAATTCCACAACACTTGAAGTCGGAGGTTGATGATAAATCATTTCTAAGAGCTTTAAAAGATTATTTAATAGGTAACATTATTATACTAAATTGACATTGTAAAATACTTTATTGACATTTTAGTTTAATGAGCGCCTATTAATAAATTGAATGATATTTATTTCAATTAGTACCGAATTGTAATTAAGCCACGTTGACATGTTAATAATATTATTTGATTTAAATTTATTTTATAGTTAATTATTGTTTTATATTGTAGTGCCCCAACGGGGTTCCATGTTTGTACCTAATGTATTTATATTTTAAGACCTTTTAAACCATGGAGACAATAAAGAATTGAATTGAATAACCATAAACCCCGAGGAATTCCTTTGGAACCTTATCTAATCATCAACAAAAACGTTACACCACCAATAGGTAATGCTTCTTTACTGTAATCTTCTATATGTAGAGAAGATCGCAGTGACCTCTACCATAGGGTAAAGGTAACTTCCCTAGACAGGGGCTCCCACAGAAAAAAAATGTGTGTGTCAGTTCCGACGCACGACTGGAGTTTACTCCTTAGGTTCGATAGTCTAACCAGATGCAAAAAGAGTTTATTTAACTTAAAAAAGATTGATACTGTATGAAAGGGTAAATTAACAAATTAATGAAATTAATATACATATATAAATATATATTTATTCATTTCATATACATTTATTATAACTAATCGACGAAATATTTTACATTAAACTTTTTACAATAGTCAATTTCAGATGTGCATAAATATATCATCAAATGGTCATTCATCGATAGTTTTTACTCCTCACATTTTTCTCATACTGGGCCCCTTATATATGCAAATCGATTCTTAAGGAGTAAACTCCAAAAAAGGAAGAAGCCATAAATGAATAGGCCGATATTGAAGATTAGATTAATACTAAAAACTCACCGAATTGTTCGTCTGTGTAAGGCACGTTCGCGCTCCCGCTGCTCGAATATTCTTTAAACTCTTTGTGTTTGCTATATGATTTAGTCGCCATCTTCTCTGTTTGCACTAACTACCTGAAAAAAGTGAGAAAAGGTGTTGCTTAGTGCCTGATAACACATATCACCTTTGACAATTGATTTGTAAGGCGGTTCATCAATAAAAACAGTACCACCGCGTCTGTCTGTACTGTGTATGTTCGCGATGATCTCAAAAACTTTTAAACAGATTTTCATGCAGTTTTCACCAAACTTCGATAACTTTTCATGGAAGGTTTGGAATTTCCGATAAAAAAATATTGCAATTGGATTGAAACGCCCGCTTCACTCACTTTTCCCCATGACTTGCGGATAAGCAGTAGTAAGACGAAGTGAAAATTTTAGGTCTTTACAAAATAGCATTACAGATTGCTTACTAACTTAACATTCTGTAATTACCTCGGTCCGTCGATACTTCTAAAGTTACACACTAAACGTTGGCCACTTTCTTTCTTTTTATTCCACTCCTAATCTAGCCTTTACATGGATGATCTACGGAGTGTACTAAATCCTAATAAATAATGTCTAATATGGTCACCTCAATAAATCTAAGGTATCTAATACGGATAATTAACAAGACATGCAAGCAGGGTGCATGTATGAAACTTTCCAATGATAAAATCTATTGCAAGCCTCTGATCTACACACGATAGAGTCGCATATACCATATTAGGCGGTGAAACCTAATCGGGTAGCAGTGCAGCCGCATGCGCACGCGTGGGATGTACTTTCGTGTCCTATCCGATGAAGTGCAGCTGCCGGCCTTCTTAGCGTCAATTGATATCGATGTCTTTTAGATTTTATCGACTCATTTAACTCGCATTAGAGTACCGATTTATTTAAATTATGCGATTTGAATGAACGTTTTGTTCTTGTATGTACACTGACTAAAGTTAAAGGGATTTTAATTTTAGAGAATGCGTGCTAGCTAGCATCTATGGCGAAGTGGCAGAGTCACAGGGGTGCACCTACTAAGGAAAGGAAATTTTGGCTTTCGTATTATTTATAATAAGCACAACGTATAGTATTAATACCACTAGTCTAATACCAAATTCCAGGTGCCGGACAAAACTTTAACCTTAAAGCTATGTTAACCCCAAAAGTAATACTATACCGTGAAGGCATTTATTTATGTATGTATATTATTATATGAACTGCACTGTTAGGTTAGGCTAGGATATCTTTCATGGCCTTTCATCATCATCATCATCATCAACCCATGTTCGTCCACTGCTGGGCATAGGTTTCCCCTAATGCACGCCACTGCTCCCGATTTTGTGCTACTCTCATCCAGCCCACTCCAATACTCCTGGCCTATACTGTAGACTTAATACAATTAGGTTTAAGGTAATTTGCGTCTGATCCATCAGACTTGATGGCAAACTCCTGTCAATATTATATGAGTATTTATATTTTCATTTATATATTGTAAGTATATCCAGTGACTTAAAGCAAAATTTCATATAGCAAAAAGAACAATATCACAGTGAAACAGTTTAAAATTTAAAAGTAATTATACTGTAACCAGAAACCATTGAATCCCAAAACCCATGCTCTTTGTTAAAGATATAACAATTAAACAAAACGCTAATATCACAATGGAGTCAGCAAACGCAATATCAAGTTAAACTTAGGTAAAATTAAGTTACTGGCTCACCACAAATGGCAGACTCCTTTCCCCGCTAATTAAAAAGAAACCAGTTGACATTTGTAAAGCCGAGTGCGCGTGAGCAGCCGTGACACACAAAACTAAAGCTACACCCGCCATCGCCCGTTTTGGCGCGCAAGGATCACAGCTGTTCAAATATTTTTGCATAAATTCTCGTTCTTACGATATAGCTACAACTTTAAACACCCACACGACGTTTAAAACAACTTAATAAATAAAAATGTGTTGAATGAACTGTCCAATATAAAGAGGGTACTTGTGTACGTAGATGAAGGTAGTTATATATAATAGTATCTTTGTGTACCCGTGACTTAAAAATAATAATAACGGTGTTACCAGAACTGATCAATAATTCTCAATTATTTAATTAATTCTTGGAAAGTTAGTTTTCAGTTATTAACTTAGTTTTTTTTTCGAGTTTTACAACAAGAATTATATTTATCTTTATTATATGAAATAAGTGTACCAATATTTTTTTCTGTTGTTTTTGTAATATACGATAAAGCATAATTTAATTTATCATATTGTGGTTCTTGAATTATTAATTGAACATTACACAGGGATACGGGGGGCAAGCATGTATAAAACCAAAACAGAATTAACAATAACTTAGTAATTATACCTTCTTCCAACTAATTTTATAAATGTGATGTTTGTATTACCAGTTTATACTTGTTCTCAATTGCGCAAAAATAGCTGAACTAATTAGGATGAAAGGCACACATATTATAGTTTATTAGGTACCTTGATACATGGGAACTTTTTATCCCGAATTTTAATTTTAGGTTCTTGTGGGATTCTCGAAATAATAAAGCCAACGCGGACAAAGACGCGCGCGAAAGCTAGTGCTTTATAATTAACAAAAAAATAGATGGGATATTTTGGGAAACTACATTATTACATTTAGCTGTAAATAAAGGAGATTTTTCGGAGTTGGTATCCCAGGTGGAGAACCTGCATCACGCTAACGAAATTCCTTACTCTGCTGCACTTATTATTATAAATCCGGTATGGACAAGCGGGGTCAGCAGTCTCGAGGGAAGCCAGTATCGCTAAGCTGGTCTTAAGTTAGCGAACCAGTGAGACGGGCTGCTAATACATAGCGGCCAAATAAGACTGAGCTGTGAACAGGGTACGGGATTCGCGTATTCTGTGCCCTGGTCACGGTTAACCGTGAATAGGGTACAGAATGCGCAAATACGGTCCCTGGTAGCGGTTAACCTCCGAGACGGAGCAACAGTTCCAAATATGGACAACTCGACTCCACTTTTTGAAGTATTTTTCTCGGGGTCCGAACACCCAAAGATAGGACAAAAAAATAAACCCTATTGCTGGCACTCTGTCTGTCCGTATTTCAAATCACGGGTCTCTAAATCGTAAAAGGCATGAGATACAGAACTGATATTTTGGTATTTTACGTAGAATGTTGGCCCAAAGCCGAATATTTAATCGAAAATTCAGTTCAATTATTTTGCATGGGGGCCCATACACGAAAAGGACTCGAAATGCATGTGACACATCATTGCTCGTTGAGCAGGATATAAATCATTTATTTACAAAGAAATGGGGGCAGTTAAAGTTATATCTTTAAGACCATTTTTGTTCCGAGTCAATCTCAAAATAGAAACAAGATAAGAATGTGAAATTTTGGTATATGGTGTCCCTTATATGCTGTATTTGAACAATAAATACTGAAAATGCCAATTCATATGTACTTAGGTAAGTTGTAACGTAAACAAACAAATGATCTACGGAATCCTAATAGAGGAAGCCACACTCGCGCTTGGGCAATTTTTTTTTTTTTTATCATTTTTTACTTACAGCTTATTATAGCGTCTAAACAGATTTTATCTGTTTTGTGGTCTTAGGCCCGAATCAATGCCAAAAGGTGTCGTCATGTCAGCGAGCCGCCCCCCCGACACAGAGAGGTTCGATTCCTCTCAGTCCCCTCCCGTTTCAAGTGCACATCTGAGTGCACTTGTCCTCTAAGCGCATTTTGCGTTATTTTAAACTATGCACTAGTTTAAAATAAAGCAGCGCCGCATCTTCCCCCTCTCGGGGGTTGATCGCTTCAGATGAAGCTTGTAAGGCCCTTCTGGCCATAAGCATGAATAAAGGGTGTTTTTTTGTCAGTAAGAGTCTGACATAACCTTACAGCCGGCTGTAGGGTATCCATGAGGATTTCTCACCCTCTCCCCCGCCTGGGAGGAAACAAAAAAAAAAACATGGCAGCGAGTAATCTGTGTGAGTGGTGTATGTATCATCATCATCATCAGCCTTTTAGTGTCCCATAGGGAGATTGGACTATGACCTACCACGCGGGCCCAGTGCGAATTGGCGGGTGCTAAAGAATGCAAATGCAGCCGGGATCAACGGCTTAACATAAGGAACTCGAGATAGAAGATTTTTGGTCACCCATCCAATGACCGACCACTGCGAAAGTTGCTTAACTTCAAACGACGCAGCCGAACGCGCTAACCACCTGCACCGTCGAGCTATGTATACAAAGTAATAATAGTTTCCGGAATGTGTACCTACTTGGAAAAATCACACTCGGTGGATTCTATATTTTTCTTTTACTCCCAGTCCAACATTATAACAATTAATTAAGAGACTTTTTTTATATTAAAAGGGTGGCAAACAAGCATATGGTCCGCCTGATGGTTACTGGTCGCCATAGCCTAGCGAGTTTATTGCTACTGAATACGTATCCTCTCCATTTGCGATAAGGCTTCACTATTACAAGACTTTTTTATTACCTTAATGTGAAATAAACAGAATATATTGAGACGAATGTAATGAGCCCAAACTCGATATGTTTACTAGAAGCAGTCCAAGGTTCCATCAGCCACCTTCCAGTCCCATCATCAGATCAGCTCGGTGTCACCATAATATTGTATTGTCATCTAATCTACAAATATTTGCCAAGTTTAAAGTAAATCTGATCGCTTAAAGTTGAGCAAAATCGAGTCTAAACGAGACAGTTACATACAAACAAACATACAGGTGAAACTAATAAAAGCGTAAAGAAAATATAACTAGAAAAAATTCCACGCCAACCAGGCAGCAGACGGGACTCGAACCCGCACCCTTCGCAATCCGGGCGAATGCACTGACCAATTATGCTACCGCGGCCCTCACGGACCGCGTCGAAATTCTTCTAGCCATTCTTAAGCTGCAAGGCAGCGCCATCTCTTCGCATTATAGGCAACCCACAATGTCAAATGAATACTTTTACAAGTATTAAACATTTGAAAGAAGAAATAGCAATTATAGTTATATTTTTTATTATTTTTAAAGCATGTAACTGCTTTGTTGGTGTTGGTTCGAGTCCCGTCTGCTGTATGG